CAAACTCCTGGTCAGTGAAGAGCTCAGGTGGGAGTCCTTCCAGCAGGGCCAGGTCATTCCCAGGAGGGTAAGAGGAGGTGTTTCTTGTTGACTTTTACATAACTTAAGCTTTATGGAAGAGTTAATTGCAAAGATAGCACAGAGAGTTCCGGATACCCCACACGCAGCTTCCAAAAATGGTGACGTCTCACGTAATCATGAAGCCGTTATGCAAAGTAAGTCAGGAGCGATGTTGGCTGGATCTGCGATTCATACAGTCACGGGGGTGGAGGTAAGGCTTCCCTCTGAGATCCAGGTACTTATTTATTATGGTCATTTGGGAGCCTTCTCAAATGCAGTTTATCATTTGATCGCAAAAACTATTCTTACTGGCTCTAACTCACCCTCATAGCGTTAAGTATATTTTGTTGGGTTTCTAACAGGAAGGTTGTTATTGTCAAGTCCTGTCAGGTATGACTCATAGTGACCCTCTGAACAACAGACCTGAATCCTGCCCTGTCCTGTGTTATCCTCACCGTCTCTTGCATACCTGAGCCCACAGCTGCTGTCACTGCGTCAATACATCTTGTTAATGGTCTTTTTTCTCCTTCACTAACCTTCAACTTTTCCAAGAACGATGTCCCTTTCCAAGGAATAGCAGATATGTCTTGGAGAAGGTGCAGCTAAAGTCCTCCTTGGAGGTAAAAATGATGATGCTTCATCTCATATACTTTGGACATGTTGCTTCGAGAGGTTATTTCTTGGAGAGGGACCTCATGCTTGGAAAGGTGGAGGGGCAGTGAGAGAGAGAAAGACCCTGAACCATGAGGATTGACACAGTAACTGCAGCAAAGAGCTTCTGGCCAGCTTTCTGTCTGGGAGCGGCTGATAGATTGAATCACCTACATTCTACCTGAGCAATGATGTCCGTTTAAAGACTAAAGTGCACCTGATTCAGACCATGGTCTTTTCAATCACTTGCTATGCATCTGAGAGCTGGATGATGACAAAAGGAGACAGAAGAAGAGTAAAATTTCTTCGATTTGTGGTGTTGGAGACAATCCCATGGATGGCCAATAAAACACCAAAACAAACCACCCCAAACAGATTATGTCTTACAGAAAGTGAAGCTGGAGTACTCCTTGGAGGCAAAGATGATGAAGCTTCATCTTACATACTTTGGGCATGTTGTTGTTGCTGTTGTTAGGTGCTGTCGAGTTGAGTATGACCTATAGTATAGACCCTACGAACAACTGATGTGCACACTGTCCTATCCCATGTCATCCTCACAATCTCCACCATGCTTGAGCCCGTTGTTACAATCACTGCGTCCTTCCATCCTGTTGAGGACCATCTTCTCCTTCACCAACCCTCCACCTTTCCCAGCATCATGTCTCTTTCTAAGGAATGTCCCCTCCTGTACCCTCCAGCGCGAAGTACTTGAGACCAAGTTTCACCACCACTGCCTCTAAGGAGCAATCTGGTTCACTTCCTCCAGGACCGCCTTGTTGGTTCTTTCGGAAGTCCCGGGCACACTCAGTGCTCTTCTCCAACACTAACGTTCAAAGGCATTGCTTCCTCTCCTGTCCTCTTTCTTCATTGTCCAACTTTCAGATGCATTGGAAGCATCGGAAAATACCACGGCACACCTTAGTCTTTAGGCGGATGTCCTTGCTCTTTATTCTAACTGGAAGGGGCATGAAAATCAAAGACAGAGGAGCCAGTCATGGGCACCGAAGACGTACCACATGTCAGGCAGCTGGCACATTTTGTTATTTCCTTTGATCACCTCTGCTTCAGGAGCTCACCAGACCAGTAGCAGCTTTCAAGCTGGTTCCCCACAACCTTCTGTATGTCAGAGTTGAACTGTGCTCTGTAGAATTTTCAGTGGCCAGGTTTTTTCAGTAGAATGCCAGGACTTTCTTTGGGGATACCTCTGAGTGGACTCAAACCTCTAACCTTTCTATCAGCAGCCTTGCATGTGAGCTATTCATGTTACCCAGGGGATCAGGCGTTCATTCCTTGCAACACTTCACTCATGAACATTGGCTGTGAGCTCAGAGAGGCTACGTGCCTTGTCTGAAATCACACAGCCCACGTGTGGCAAAGCCTCATTTGGGACCCAGCCCCTGGACCACGCTCATCAGATCTCCAGCCCAGGATGCTTTAAATATAAGACCCTTCCCTTCCTCTGGAGTGCTGAAGCTCCGTACTCTCTCATCCTTTCATAGTCAGTATTGTCTCTTGGGGTCAGGAACTGAGCCAGAGCTAGGGGAGAGCAGGGGCCTGGCCTCCCCTACCAGAAGCTCCCCATCCAACACAGACCACAAGACAGTCAGTGAGTTTAAATGCAAACATATTCTGGTAGTAATTGGTGCTGGAGACCAGTGAGGTGTGGTGACAGCAAAGGAGTTGATAGGACTAGGGGGGCCCACTGCCTTTGCTGGGGAGCCAGAGAAGAGCCCGTGCGGAGTAACAGTTGAGTGAGGCCAAGTGAGTAAGAGTGAGCTGAAGGAAGAATCCCAGGCCTACAGATAGAGGGTGGCAGGAGCTGGATGGACACACCCGGGTGCTGGAGACATACAGGAAGGTGTCAACACAGGGACTTCACACCCAGAAACGCCTGTGAGCAGGGACCAAAGTTCCTGGGGTCTCCTTTAACCTGCTTGGGGCTGCACCTCTGTTAATGTTCACCTATAACGGGACCTTTGATCGCCCTCTAGTGCTGACACTGGTTACTGACATCAATAAATAACAGCTGCCAGGGCTCCTTCTGGTGCCAAGCAAGACCTCTGGTGGCCTGGTGTTAAGAAGCTGTGCTGCAATCCCAAAGGCACAGAGTTAGAATCCACCAGCTGCTCCATGGGAGAAGGACTGGTAATCTCCTCTCATGTGATTTACTGTTTCTGAAAACCCACTAGTGGGTCAGCTATGGCGCAGTCCCGACTCGATGGCACACAACCACAGAGCATGACAAAGGAACCTGGTGATGGAGTGTGAAATGTGTAGGGCTGTTAAGCAAAAGGTTGGTGGTTTGAATCCACCAGCTGCTCTGAGAGAGAAAGATAGGCAGCTTCTGCCCAGGACATTTACAGCTTCAGAAGTCCAGGGGACGGCTACTATGAAGTCGGCATTGACCCGATGGCAGTGGGGGTTTTTGTTTTGTTTTCAGTTTAGCCCCCTGAAGGGAGCCCTGGTGGTGCAGTGGTGAATCATTCTGATGCTGAGATGTCTACAACTCAAACCCACCCAGCAAGCCATTCTGCTTGCTTAAGGATTGAGAATCCTGGAAACTTTATGGGGCAGCTCTGCTCTCAGAGGTCACTGGTGGAATTGATTCGGTGGCAGTGAACTTGGGTTGAGTGGCGGTGACTTGGTTTGGGTTTTGGCTGGAGCACAGCAGACAGGCACTGCTGGGCGGGGGAGAAGGGAGGGTGAACAGGTGAACAATGAGTGTGGAAGGTGAGGAGATGTGACAGGAGGGGGAAGGAGAACTTTGGGCCTGGAGCGTGAATTCTGGCTTAGCCCTGGAGACTATGAAAAGTCACATAGCATCTCTGAGCCTCAGTTTTCCCTTCTGTAAAATGGGGCCAATAGCCCCCCGTTTCCTGGTGTTTGCACAGCTTAAATACGATGTTGTAAGAGATCTGAGCTCACTCCAAAGACCTGTGCACTCTGGCTTCTCTGAGCTGCCTGGAGATGAGGCCATCATTAGCGTCACCAGGGAGTTCTGGTGGCCTAGTGGCAAGAAGCTGTGCTGCAATCCCAAAGGTATACAGTTCGAGTTCACCAACTGCTCTGTGGGAAATGGATGGGCAATCTCCTCCTGTAGGGTCAGCTATGGGTCTGTAACAACTAAACAGGACACAACAACCACAACAAACAGGGTTAGGCTAGGGAGCTCTAGCAGCCTAGTGGGTAAGGAGTTACACTGCCAACCCAAAGACAGGAAGTTCGAATCCACTAGTTGCTCCAGAGAAAATGATGAGCAATCGTCTCCGACTCGATTTACAGCCTCTGAAAACCCACTGGAGAGTCAGCTGAGTCGGTTTCTATGCAGCGGCTGAGAGGGGAAGCTGAAGGATCGTGCTGGGAAGGATCGTGCTGGGATGGGCCTGGCGGTTTTTAAACCTGGCTGTTGATCTGAATCAGAAGTTGATTCTCACCTCCTTAGTCAGAACTTCCAGTGCGGGGCCCCGGAAATCTATGGTTTTTGTAAATTCTGCAAATGATCCTATGAGCGATTTGAGAACAACGAGACAAGTAGTTGAAATATAATTCAGAAAAAAAAAAAAGAAATATAATTCAGGTCTAGCGTCAAATCCGGGCTCTGCCTCTCCCTAGTGGTACGACCTTGTAAATGCTGCACCTCGGTTTTCTCACCTGTAGAATGGGAATAATGATAGTCTGTAGGATTATGGCAAGAGTCAAATAAGATAGAGTGTGCAAAGGGCTTACAGTGGCATCTGGGATATGTACATATTTACAAAACTCGTATATGGTCACTGTGACCAATAACTAATTACAAATGAGTGAGTACAGTGACGTCATGAGGGAACTCTGTTGTTGTTGTTGTTATGTGCCGTCGAGTCGACTCATAGTGACCCTATGTACAACAGCCCTAAACTCTGCTCTGTCCTGTGCCAATCGCACTGTCTCTGACACTCCCATCCCAATTATTCCAGTCACTGAATCAATGGTGTAGGGATTAAAATACTTGCTGCTAACCTCGAGGTCAGCAGTTCAAATCCACCAGTCATTCTGAGGAAGAAGGAGGATTTACAGCCTGGAAAAAAGCCTGTGGGGCAGTTCCATGGGGGGGGGGGGGGGGGGGGGGGAAACACTACACAGGCCCAGCATTTCCCACCTCACTTCATCTGTTCACTCGTTCGCTCCCGCCCCTCTGGGTCTCCTGCAGCAGATGCAGGACCTCAGAGAGCTTTGGGCTGGGAGGACAGCTGCCTCCCTTGGCCTCTCTCTCTCTCTCTCTGACCACTTCCCCTTGTCACCTTCTCTTGCAGAATTCTCCACCCTGGTGGCTGAAAGCTAAAAGGGGTTGACTCCCCCGGCCTTCCACCTCTCTGCCCCCAACACCTGAGCTCAGCCCCTCTCGCCGCCCTCCCGCGTTCTGTTCAGTTTGTTTATGTTATTTTTTACTCCTCCCGTCCCCTGCGGCCCTCGGATGACACTGTTCTTCTGGAAAATGCTGGAGAAATAATAAAGGCTGTACCAGTCGGTCTCTGTGGTCTTGGGCGTGGACTCCCTTCCTCTGCTGTTACAGGCCTGGGTGGGTGGAGGGGCGGGGATTCAGTCAGTCTGGAAGAACCAGGTGGGAGGGAAATTTACCAACCCTGGTCTGTGTGAGATCTGGAAAGTGCTCATCTACACAGGCCTTCCTCCTAATCAGTCATAAAGTTGGTGATGCACTTCCTACATACGTATAAAGACTAAGACTTGGTGACTCTGTGCTGTGTCTAAGCCACACAGCTGAGACGTGCTAGAACTGAGACTTGAACTCCAATCTGTGCTTGTCCTGGTTGGTCTTCTGCCCCCTGACATCCCTCCCCAATTCAGTTCCCACACATAGCCTGAGGGCTCCCCCAAGACCTCATGGAGAGACACTCCCTTTCTTAGGCCACTCATGGGGGCTCCTGTTCTAGAATAAAACCCAAGAGTGACTCAGCGGAGCTCCCCTGGGGGCTGGCCCAGCATCATGCCTTTGACCTCTCAGTGCTCCCCCAGACCCCTTAACACTGTCCCTGCATCTGGACCAGCCTGCTCTCCCCCCCCCCCCCCTCTCCCTCCATATCACTCAGTCCGACACTTTCTCTGCTAAGCCGCCCCTCCCCTGCCTCTGGACCCTCACATCGAGTGCAGTCCAGAGAGGGCCAAGGAGGGTGAGCCCAGCTTCTGTGACACAGATGTGCTTGGTGAGGCCCTGCGTGTCCTGTGACTTCTCAAGCCACACAGAGCTCAGAGACAGATCTCTGGTTTCCCCCCTTCTCCGTGGCATTACATTATCAGGGGAAACGCTGTACCGAGAATGCAGGTAGGTTGGGGGCAGGAGGATGGCCCCTTCCTGCCCAGGTCCCCCAGCTGTCCATCCCCCTCCCTGTGACCACCACCAGCAACTCCCCCCCTCTTGGTGTCCTCAGCAGCTCACTCCTCCCCTTCACCTTCCCTCATTGCTATGCGCAGGGCGCCTCTTCATTATCTCTGCCCCCCTTCTGTCTAGGAAGGACTGGGGAGGAGACGCAGCCAGATCAGTCCCTAAGGAGCTTGTGACAAGTAGCAAGGTGACAGTGTGAGGACACTGCAACGGCAGCCAGGTGATGAGTGATCAATCACTAGTGACCGGGGCGGGTCAACTGTCCAGGTCCGGGGTGTGTGTGGGGGAAACAGAGGGGAGACAGGAGGGACAAGGACAGTCAGGACAGAGATCCGCTGGCTGCCTCCTTCACCATGGACTTGGTGGCGATGGCCACGGAGGCTCCAGCTTTAGGGCCAAGAGGACCTGCATTCAGGGAGCTCTGGTGGCCTTGCTCTAAGGAGCTGCGCTGCTAACACAGAAGTACGCAGTTCAAATCTACTTGCTCTGCGAGGGAAATAGGAACCTTCTCCTCCTGAGCGGTTTCCTAACTCTGCAAGCCGGCTTCGGCTTCGGGGTCAGAGACAGGTCAGCTCTGACTCAGTGACACAAAAACAACAGACCTGCGTTCAATTCCGCTTCCTCCTCTTTTGAGGATTTTCTATGGGCTTCTTAGGGCCACTGTTCATGCTCTGGCTCCTTTCACTGTGGCTTCTCTTGCCTGCGGTGTTCCCAAACCCCTTACCTTCCATCACATTCGGTTCCTCAGACTTCCCCATCCTCTCCTCTCTTCTACATTCTCCTCCTGCTGCTCCTTCCTCCCGGCTCCCACTTAAACGTGCCCCACAGCTCTGCATTCCAGGACTCTCCCTTCCTTCCAACGAACCACGTTCACTCATTTCTAGGCCTTTGCATGAGCTGTTCCTTCTGCCTGAAACACTGTTCCCTTCCTCCCTGGCTAGCCCCCGAGGAAACTCTGAAGTCTAAGTGATGTCTCCTCTCCACTCCCACACCCCCCCCCACGTACATGTGCTCATTTTTACTTTCTCTGAGCATCTGCTTCCTCCCAGGCATGACCCCAAGCTCACGGATGGCCCCGAGGGGGGGGTTCCACACGGTCTCCTGGCGTTCCCCTACAGGACTGAACTCCTATTGCCCTTTCTTTTTTTTTAAATTTTTTTTATTTTTTATTATTTTTGTGT